AAGATCTTCCCACTCAGCAGATCTGTAATACCAAACTATGCGCGGCTTAGATTTTCCCCAACATTCAGTTCGATAATATACAGTTTCAACTTAGTAAACATAAAAATCGATCACAATAACTGAAGGAATCATCACAGGTTGTACAAAATAATATACTGATTATATAAAATTTCAACATAAATTAAACAACTCTCAGTTTCAAATTCTGTTGCCTCATATAATATTGTGTAATTTGCAATCAAGTGTTGATTACCAAAATCGCAGAAGAAAAATAAAAAAACTTTCGAAAAAATACACATTAACAGATAAACGACCACCGACTCGACAGTACATAGTAAGCAATGGCTCAACTTTGTCGAAGTATCGAAAATTAAAAACTGAACTAAAATCGTCATTTACTCCAAAACTTTCGAATTTAGGTATAAGAAATATATCTGTGTATCTGCATAAAGTTTGGGTCGATGTATGACAAAGAAAGTAATAGGAAAAAAGGAGTAGAAACTTTTGTTTGTAATTTGAATGTTTACGTCTCGAATAATTCAACAGGCTGATAACAGATTTCTACACATCTACTGCACATCTTGAGGGAGGGGCTTCTCACCGGCCATGACTAAGTCCGGCAGCTTACGAGGTGTTCCGTGCATTAAAAAAAATCGAAGCCAATAAGGTTCGACCATTATCAGAATTGACTCGTTATTTTTTAACCCTGTGAAGAAATCTTTCGAATTGAATACAAGAATATATCGAGAAAAAACGTCTGAACCACATTCCAGAAAGTTACCATTTATTTCTGACTCCCTCGTATGATACGGAATTTTTCAGAAACACCAATTTTCCAAAAAAATTGCAGTATCTCGAAATCGGCTGCATTTAGGAATAGAAGAAGAATATATTTATTGAAATAGGTAATCCTAATACACAATATTATATAAAACATATTACCAACATAGAAATTGAAAATAATTATTTAAAAAAACCTAAAATGTAGATATAGTTCAAAATTGAAAATAAAAATTTTTATTTTGAAAAATAACGACATATTCTATTAAAAATACATGGCAATATAGGTTCAGTTCCAATGAATGAATAACTTCAATGAACGTCCTCTAAGAATTCATAGTAGAATTCAAAAAAAAATTGAGAATGGGGTGTTCCATTAAAAAAAACATAACTTACATGTACTACATCCTTCAGGATCACCTTGTATAGAAGAAAATAATTTATAATCATGCCCTAAAGTGAATTGCATCGTCTAGTTATGAAACATTTTCAGAAATTTGTTTCGTCTAGCCACTAAGGACTGATACGTTACTTGGATTCACCCAGTATATATGAAATAAATCCGTGAAAATGTAAAGATAAATAGATGAGTATCAATCCACTAATTTCTCGCTTTGTTTTACGCAGATATTTTTATCAAGTACTTTTCTTGGTTCTTCACATTTCGTCTTCA